GATTTTAACTGGATGAAAGACTTATAAAACTTCTAGATTTTTATTAACAAAGTTTATAAGTTTAAAAAATTATATATATAAAATTAAATTAAATCAACTGAAATATATCATATATTTTAAAATTTTAATTATAAATTTTTTAGTCAAAACTTTAAATAACTTTGTAATTTTAAAAATCTAATTAAATATTCTTTTTTTTTAAATAACATTTTAAATATAATAATAGTTATTTAATATATCCTTATATCCTTTAATTTTAAGGTAAATGCTATTAATTGTAATATATGGCCAATAATAATCCAATTTTTATAATTTAATAACCATTAGATAGTCATTAGATTTACCTAAAAAAAATAAATCTAATAAGTTATAAATTATCTGTTTCTAATAATTAGATTATAAAATAGAATTAATAATATTTTAATTGATATTTTATAATAAATATTTTTTTAATAAAATATAACATTCTAATATTTAATTTAACTTAATAAGATGAATTTAATAAGCCAAAAATCAATAAAATCTGATTAATACTAAATAGTAAAATAATGTATTTTATAGTAATATTAAAAATTTTTATATATATAAAAAAGAATATTTAATTTTATATATAATATAACATTTACATTTTAACAGGTATAATTTTTCATATTATTAATATTCAAATATTTCATTTTTTAAAAAATTAATTTATTAATATTGTTATAACAATAGTTTTAATAATCTTTAATTAAAAGTATTAAAAATATATATTTTTATCACAGGTCGAAATGCTAAAAATTGGCAAAAAAAATGGCGCGAAAAGCAGTAGCTATTTTTGGCTATTTTTGGCTGTTTTGGCTATTTGCAAATTAACCTATACTATTTGTAAATAGTTTATACAAATTTGCGAATAGTTTATGCAATTTGTGCCATTTTTTTGGCCTGTTTTTGGTTATTTGACGTGTGTATAATACAGTAAAATTATATAAAATTCAAAAATAGCATTCCAAATCTACTTTTTAAAATTAAGTAAATTTGTAACTCTAATAAAATTACATATAATAGCAAATTTATAAAATTATACAATAAATGAACTTTAATTTTATATTTATCTCATTTTGCAGAAATTTTAATAAGTTTATGGTATATTTAAAAAACTAAAAGAATTTGAGAAAAAAAAATAATAAATATTTAAGAATAAGATATATAGATAATTGCTAGGTTATATATTATTATAATAAACTTATTTTAAGATAATAATATATTAAGTATTTTTTAACTTAAATATCAGATATTAAATATAATTTTATAATAACTATTAAAATAATTTAAATTCAAATCTGATTATTCACTACAATAATTTTATGATATTTAGTTTACTTAAACTAGCTATAACTATGCTATTTTTATTAAATCAGTTTTTTTTTTTTTAAAAAAAAAAATTATACTCAAAGGGAATAGTTAAATTAATTTTTAAAGAAATCAAATTTTAAATATAATGAAATTATTTAATAAAGAATTGATGTAATTCAAATTAATTCATCCAAAAAATATTATATTTATTAAATATATATTGCAAAAACTATAAAAGTAGTTTTTAATAGGAAATTTATATCAGATAATTATAAGAAATTATAGTAATATCTTAAAGAAGAGTTTTTATTACCTAAATTGATTACAAAGTTAAAAATGTTTTTTTAATTTACCAGTTTGATTTCAACAATATTTTTTTATTTTGATCAGATGTTAAAAACTATATAATAAAAAAAGATTATTAAAATTAAATCACTAGATTATAAGATAATTTTTGAACTTAATTAAATTTAAATTAAATTAAATTGGTAAAGAAAAAGTTTAATCTATATAAAATAAAGGTATAATTTTAAATTTAAAAAAAAAAAAAAAAAAAAAAATAATAATACTTTATTTTTTGCAAGATTTGTTAATTTGTCAAATATATATACATATTAATATGTATTTTATTAGTAAGTTTTGAAATTAGAATTTTTAGATAAAAATTTTCAAGAAAATTTTTTCATTACTAGGAATTTAATAATAAATTCTTAATGAAAAATTTATAGGAATCTTATATTATTAACTAGGTTTCTTTTTTATATAAACATTATACTTAAATAATTTTTAAATTTTATTTCTACAAAGATTCTATTTATTTACAGTGTATAATGAAAATAATTGTGGTTATAAAAATTCTATGTTTTAATCATTATATAATGTAATTAAATGAAATTAAATTGATATGAAATTCTATTAATTATAAAGTTAAATAAATAAAAAAAGAAAAAATGTATTTGTAACAGCCTGTTACATATCTTATTTATAACATCCTTTTTTTATTTTTTTTTAATAATAAATTTAATATGTGTTTTACAAATAAAATTTTTATATGCAAAATTTAATTTGGAAAACTTTTACTTAATGTACTTAAGACAGTTTCATAGACAAAATTTTAAGTTATAAGCAGTTTCTTGAAATTTTTTAAAAAATTCTTTTGTCTTAGTTACACAACTGATCTTTTGATTTTGTTTACATTACGCCTGATCTTAAATTTTAATTGGATAAAATTGGGGTTGTTACAAATAAGACGCGTAACAGGCTGTTACAATTAGATTTATCCATAAAAAAATATTGTAAATTGTTATTTAAATTTTACGAAATAATTCATATACAATCGGATCTCTATATAATCACACCCTATATAGTCACATTATATAAAATTCCTCTATATAATCACACCTTTGGAAAATACTAATATATATAATTACTATATAAAAAAACCTTTGTATAATCACATTATAGTAAAAGCCTCTATACAGTCACTGATTTTTGCGGAACTGATTAGATGACTATATAGAGATCTGACTGTATATATATATTTTTTAAAAAATTAAAAAAAAATTGTCAAATTTTAATTGGCTAGAAGTTTAATTAAATTTAAAAATTTCTCAACAATTAGTGATTCAAATTGGATAAAATTTTAATATATTATAAATTAGATATTTTTATATAAGATGTAAAAATTTGAAATTATTTGGCTTGCTAAGTTTAGAGAGATTTAATTTTAAAGATTGTCAAAAAGCATAATGTAGATCATTAATAAATATAGTTCAATATCAAATTTTTCACCAACCAGTGATTTAAATTGAGAAAAATTTTCATATATTATAAATTTAGATTCAATCTTTAAAATAAAAAAATTTTTGTTTAATTTAAATTACTGGCTAATAAGGAAATTAATGAAATATATCAACTACAATTATTTTCGTTACACTCTGTATATTTTTTATAAGTAATAATATATTATTAAATGAAATTTTAAATAAAAAAATAAAGTATCTAGCATTTGTCTTATTATTTTTTGAAGCTTTTCAGAAATATCTAACTATTTTTCAAATTCCATATTATGCAAATTTTTATTTAACTTTTCATTATAAATAAATTTCTTATAAGTATTTATTATTATATTATTAAATATAATAATCTAAACTATATTTTTTTAAAAGGTTCTTTAAAAATATTATAAAGTTAATCCAAATATTTTTGTAAAAGATTTTAATTTGATATTAAAAAATTTTGATTTAAAGTATTTGATATTTATTTTTTCTAATTTTATTTTAATCTTTTCTTATATAATTTATACTTTTAAGCTAGTCAATATTATTAAAATTTAAAAACTTTAAATTTGCATTCATATTATCAAATTATATTTTAATATTAATCACCAAAACTTTTATTTTTATATAAAAGTATTAAATATATAAAACTTGTTAAGTAAAATAAAAAAAACAATATAAAAGTATAATATTATTTTTTAAATATTTTGCAATTTCTTTATTTATGTTTTTTTAACTTAAATTTATGTTAGAAGTTAAAGTATAAGAATATGCAATAAACTTTTATGCTAAAATTTTGTATTTAAGAATAAGAGTATATGAAATATGCATTAAAGATCTCAATATTTAAAAAGGCATTAAGAATAACATATATATTAGAATCTTATAATATTATATAAATATATTTAGTTTAGAATATAATAAATAATTATATCAATAAATTCTAATTATTTCATAATTTCACAGGTAATTTGCAAAGTATCACTTATTATATCATATATATTTTAATAAAAAATTAAAAAATATTAATTTATACCTATATATATGATGGTAGAATAAATATATTATTTTATTTTGACAAAATATTTATTACCGATTTTTTATTAAAATAATATTTAGAATTCTATAATAATTCTATCATATATTTTTATAAAAGATAAAGAACTTTAAGTTTTTATTGTAAAATATAATTAAACTTGTTTGTTACTTTTTCATTCTAATATTTTTTTAATAAAATTATATGCTATTTTATTAATTGATATTTTAATTTTTTTTTTATCTATTTATTAAAACAAAAATAAATATATTTCTTATATGCTGTAGTTCATTTGACTAAATTATAATTTCAATATAGTATTAATAAGTATTTGCTTTTTTAAGCTTATCAATAAATTCATTAAAATGTAAAGCATATTCTTTTTGCATTTCAGGATTTTTTTCAGTCGACAAGTTAAAAGTATACCTAAAAATTTCTTTCTATCAGAAGTACTATCATTTTTTACCACCTTTTAAACTCATTTTACTAATGATTTGGATTCTTTTTTGTAATTTTTATAAGTTTACTAGATAACTGTTGCATAAAAATTTTCAAACTATTTAACTTAACAAAACAGTTTAATTATTTTTTAACAGACAAAAACTGGTTTCAGATTAATGCTGCCAAAATTGTGTGAAGTAATTGTTAAATTAAACTTTGTCTTTGGCATGCAAAGAAATCAATCAAAAAAAAATTAGCAGATAATTCAGAACCAAAATATAATACTTATAATCCTCTTTAATTGATATTCTATGGATTCCTATTATACCACCTAATTTACCATATATTTTTTGTTCTAAAACTTTACAGGCAAAAATTTACTAAACATTTTCACTTACATCCACTCATTCCTATTGGGAACAAAGAATTTTTATTAAGTGAAGATATTTGGTACAGGTAACTTTATCATTGACATGAAGAATATTTAATCTAATTAACGGCTGATTTTGCATTAATTACACAATGATTTACACTAGTATTTAGAAAGGAGTTCTATTGTAGAGAAGGTATTATGACATACATGGTATTAAAATAAAACATTTAATTTTTTTGTTCTTTTGTCTTTCTTTTGTCTGGAGTGTTGTCCGGAATTGATATCCAATTGAACACACAATTACGGTCACTTTCATTGATTATGTGTTCTTTACACATTTTTTCCTTTATAGATTTTCGCTCTACAAGCAGTGCCTATAATAATAAATACTACAATAAATAATAGTAAATGAGATACATTTGTATGTCTAAATAAATACCTCCAAAAGAACGCCGATTTTTACAATATCCATTAAAAACCAGCGGTCTGAATATGATGTCGGTATTTTACATTTAAATATCTCATAAATCCTATAGGTTTTACAGCTAATTAAGTCCGTGAGATAAATTGATATAAAGTATTCTAAAATATAGAATTAGGTGAGTCTTACAAAAAACAACAATTCAATACTAAATATTAAAGAAACACATCTACTATATCCATGGATTCCGATGGATTTAAGTTTCTTTGCAGTTGTTATAGAGGATTTACGATATTGTAAGAATTGATAGTTGATATCATCAACTCCATTACGCGCCAATTTGGTCATATCTCCTAAGTAATGGGTTTCGTCAAATTCCGTTGGACCAAATGATTGTTCGTACAAAATTGTAGCATTTTCATCTTGACAAATAACAGCGTCATTTCTGTCTCCTCTATGTGTACTTGACGGCTTTTGATCTGCATTAATGTTATATATCCTATCCTTGTGAGCTTCGTTCACAATTTCACCACTAAAACCAGAAATAGCATTAGTGTATATGAAAGGACACGAAAAAAAAAACTAAAAAAATTACAAACTTACAACGAAACGCCAGATACCAATTCATTAAAAAACATTGAAAACAGGTCAAAAATACGATATATCGTTTGGCTTGACCAAGTTTTTTCGCTGCCTTTGATTTGAAAACCACCGTAACGATAGTAAAAAATGAAATGCCGACAAACTTCCCTAGTCCATAGGAGTAATGGACGCACATCCTTACCAAGTGGTTTCTCTACTTTAGACAATGTACTTTCAATGTCTCCGCTTAGCAAATCACATAGGCATGCCTTGATATCATTGGGAATATCAGTCTTAACAGCAGTGTCGCGAGTTATCATCTCGAACTGACCATCTGCGTCCGCTTCTGACAATTTTCTAAACGGTTCACATAAAATAAATATATTTCGATTTCTCATATCTTCGAAATATTCAGCAACTTTACTCTTTTTTTTTGATGCAACCTATATAACGAATTTTCATTTTATTAGTGGAATATGTAGCATATAGAGTTAAATAAAAAACTGCAACAACATTGTCTATTCGTGATCATAATTTACTATAACATCAGAATTGATTCGTGATTGCCCTCGTCGCCAACTTCACATTTGTCTCCCACAATAATGCTCTGTAGTAGAAATATCCTTTATACAAGGCAACTGCCAAACAATGATTAAAAGGTTCACGACTAACCTGACTTTCAACTAACGAATTAAATTTGTTGTGAACGATCACGTTGGTCTCCTGAATTGAACGGTGAACTTGAGTCTATAAAGCGGAAATATAAGTATTAGTGATCACGATATCAAATAAATTCATTAAATTTTTAATAATTAAAAAAAAAAAATCGTACCATAACTAAATTCCCCGAATTTGTTAGTATTTCGGATTCATCATTGGATAAATTTTCACCTGATTTCGAGAAAGGAAGAAGATTATCTTCGTTATCGTGATCATCGTTACTATCCTGTTTGTATCGCAAAAAAGGTAGCCAGTTAAAACTTTTAACCTAGTTACGATAATCTCAATAATAATCATCACCTTATCACTTTTGGTACGTTTTGTTGCCCTTTCATCATCTTCGAAAGAACTTTCCGCGGTCCGTTTATCCATTTGACTTGTCTCCTTAAGAATTTATAATAATATAGTTATATATTCGGACTGTTAATTATTACCTTAAAGAAAGACATTGATTACAAGATATTTACCAATTCTTTGGTCAATCTCGTATCTGGGGCAACTTCCCATTTATCATTTAAATTTTCAATCTTCATTGATTCTCTGTATAATAACTTTCTTGACTCAAACTCGGCCTGAAAGAATCACATGCTTTCAATTCTTGTTTAGCATGTTGTGATTACATTCAAATCATTGACTTGCCTTCTTTTCTATTCTCTCAAACAAATCCCTAACTTCTCGCCTTTCAGCAGTCTTGTCAAAGGAAGAATAAATGGAGGTAGCTTTATTTCGTGCATGACTCAATATGTTTTGATTATTGCTAATTGATTTAACTTTTCTTTTCATATCGTCAAGAATTGATTCTCTATCTTCAAAATTTATAGCAGCATTTTCTGATATGAACTGGAGACAAGCAATTATCGACCATTCTTTATATGATTTCGTTTTGAAGAAGGAGGAGATGACCTTCAAGTACAAGGAAAAAGAAAAAGATTAGTGTGCAAGCTTATTTATTTAAAAGAGTTCAGTCTAGTATTAGAATATCGACAAGATAATATTCTGATCAAGAGCCCGCTAACGTGGTATACACTGGAGGAATACAGCAGGTGCTGATACGTCCAGGTAGGTCGCTAAGGAGTGTCTTTTCAAACATCGGCCATATGTGGTCCTCAAGATACAGAGGGCATATGGACGTAGGATATTATCGAGTCTGGCTTTCTGGTAAAGAACCCGCTAACGTGGTATACACTGGAGGAATACAGCAGGTGCTGATACGTCCAGGTAGGTCGCTAAGGAGTGTCTTTCCAAACATCGGCCATATGTGGTCCTCAAGATACAGAGGGCATATGGGCGTAGGAGCCGTAGGATCGCTTGATGTAGTAATAGAAAATATACATTTACCTTGTATATATTTGACATAATAACTCTTTTAACTCTTTTAAGACAAAAGGCAGGTATCTGTCGCGTAAGGATGCTATAAATTTTTTTGATAGAGGCGCGTGTCACTGTGTCACAAGGGCGCAGCCCAGAATTTACATGTATCGGTATCAGCCTATCAGGTATTCGTTAAGCCTTATTGGGCAAGCTTTATAAAAAAACATTATTTCTGAAGGGTTGAGGCTCGTCAAAATTGCGCAGAAGAATGAATGAATCGTATGGCGTAGTACGGTATGTCAAGTGATAATTTATGGCGCAGTACTTTGTGACGTAACCATTTAACACCCGATCATGAAGTGAATTATCAGGGAAATATGATGGGGGAATAGATTTAATCCGGGCTATTTTTTCTTTACCTAAGCTTATATACAGTATCTTTTCGGATCTTTTCGCAAAGAGCCGGAATTCCAAGCGTTAACTGGCGGAATTATATATATTTATATTTTTATTAAACGTTGACTACGCAAATTAAAATATATGACATGATTGCTATTACGCAAACTACATATATAACCTTTTAAAAAAACTTCAAAATCTACGCAAATAAATTTTATGACTTTTGGAAATTTTACTAATATGGTTAAGCAAACTTACATAGTTACATGTGACCTTTATATGTATTTTTCGGAGTCCTCAATACTTCAATTTTTGGTAGATTTCTTCTAGTATAAGAATAAATTAACTTTTTTGTTTTTAAAATTTTAATATTTATTATAAAATACTACTTATTTTACATTTTTCTAGTCATCTTCAAACATTTTATTCCAAAATGCTTGCTTCAAAAAATGTATATATTAATAACCAATTAATTGATTAATTGGTGAAACCAAATTATCAATCAACTAATCAGTCACTAATTTTTAGGACAATTAAATTCCCTACTCTCAACTGTCTTCTTTTACCTCACACCTCAGCTAAAGAATAGGGTTAACACTTTAGCAGAAGAAAAATATCTACAACAAAACAGTTAATTAAGGACCATGATTAGAGAAAGGTAACCAAACTTATTTGAAAAGGTTCCTCTTACTGACTTTATGCTCTGCAAGATCGATGATACGATGAACAAATTAGTGGATATGATCATGGGAAAGGTCAAAACGGAAAAGACATAGCTCCATATGAGTTTATTTCTGAGCATTTTTCCCAGCAACTTCCTAATGATAAAATTCTTATTATTGTAGACATTTGAATACTCCCTCCAGTTAAGGATGGTGCCGCAATTGCGGATTTTGGAGTCGAATTGCGGTTAGTGATCCGCAAATCCGCAATCAGTTCTACTAGTTTACCGAACCGATTTAATAAAAAAAGACGTTTTTTCAAAGTAATTTTAATTGAAAAAACGTTTCCGCAACGTTTTTCGTTTTTTAATTAATTTAACGAAAAAACGTTACGAAACGTTTTTTCAAAGTATTTTTTAATAAAAAAATGCTTCGCAACGTTTTCTTTTGATTGATTTAATGAAAAAAAAGTAGCGAAACGTTTTTTAACGTTAATAATAAGTGATTTTTTTTTTAATTTTAAAAAAACGTTTTCGCACGTTGCTTTAATAAAAAACATTGCGAAGACATTTATTATTAGCGAACATTACAAATAATTCGCAATTTCCACAATTATTCCGCAATTGAATTGCGGAATATTTGCGGAACTGCAGATAATTGCGGATATTTTTAGATTTAAAAATCTGCAATGTTCTGCAATACCGCGGCACAATCCTTACCTCCAGTAGTTAGAAATTATTTATTAACATCATGTAATACGATTTATTCACAATTTTTTATGCATTAGTTGTTGCTTTGGCAACGTTTTTTGTTTCATCAAATAAAGTATCGATATATTAGGAATAAGGCCGTAGTAAGTCCATTGAAATTAAACAATTTTGGGGCGGTATAGGTTACATGCCATTTGTATCATGTGATTGACCATATTTTTGCTAACCTTATTTATACTTATTCTTATAATTCCGACCAAAATTTTGCCTTAGCAGTTAATGGTAACATTAATGTTATCATTTGATTGGACCGCGTGATCTTTATTTTTCAACGTGTTGGTATTTGAAACAGGAGTCTTAATCTGATTTTTTTAACTAAGTACTAAGTATTTTTAATTGAATTGTTAAACTTGAAATAACCATTTCAAATTGTTTCTAGTTCATACCGCAAAAAAAAAAATTAAAAGTATAATTATAATGCGGAAAAATATAACGTTAATACTTATTTTCATTATTGCAACCTTCAGCAATTTCACTTTTGCTACGGCGCCTTTAAAATGTAGAGGAAATAAATTGTTTGATGCTTTTCGGGGTGAAAAAAGTTTTACTGCTAAAATAACTTCAAGTAACTCAACTTTGGAAGAAAGGGCTATTTGTCCAGCAGGAACTTTTGGATGTTCAGGGACCGATAAATGTTGCGAAACAATATGTGCTTCTACTTGTGGTAGCAGTCTTTGTTGTTCACCAAACACATATTGTTGTAAAAACACAATTGGTTGTTGTCCACTGGGCACTACTTGTTGTGGAATTTTTTGTTGTGAGTTAGGCCAAGTTTGTCAACAAAATCGTTGTGTGGAGGCATTCATACCGACATCAAAACCATCAACAACAAAACCGCCAATACCAAAACCAACACTAGTATCAGATGACTGTTCTGGATTGACTGAAAAATCTAAGACTTCGACTTATCGAAACAAGACCGCAAAAGCCGATGGCAATACCTTTGTTTATATACTTGATCCCATAACAGGGAAAATGAAGACAGATTTATTAGAAAATATCAGAACACCAGCTAGTAAACCCGGTGTATATATTGTTAGCAATGACTTAGAAGCTGACCATGTTTTTGAAGCACAAATTCTCCCAAATTACCTTAAAACCTTGGGACAAGTTGGTCAAACAATATGCAAATATATATTTGACAATCCAAGTGTTCTTGAGGAACTTAAAGGTATCATTAATGATGAAATCAACATGCGATTTCTTTCTAAAGAAGTTAACAACGGCAAAGGAAGTATATTTTCTGGTCAAAACTCAAAATTGCGCGATGCGGTAAGAGAATATCTAACGATGGATGATGCCTTTGAAGCATATTCCAAGACTCGTGACAAAGTAACTGATTTTTTGCGTAAGACTGCAAATGAAGCACTTAAGGTCAGGATTAAAGTGCGTAGGAATGCAAATGAAGTGCATATGGTCACAAATGAAGCACGTGCTACAAATGAAGCAAATGACATTATAAATTCTTTTGAAAATTATTCACGCTCTTTATATGAAGACTTGACGAATAGGAAATTGCCTCCAAACAAATCTCTTAACAACTCCTCTACCTTATCATTATCGTACCTTCCTGTGATATTGTCCATGACTTTAAGTCTTATATTCTTTAGTTCACAAACAATACCTATACTTTTCAAATAGTAAATTATTTTTTTAAAGCATGTAAAAAAAGATACTATACTGTTACACAAATTTTAATATTTAGTTGTTATTTAATTTTACAAATAGGTTTCGAAGTGCTTGACTCAGAGATCCATTATTATAAAAAATAAAAATGCCACCCTCTTTCACAATTAGTGCTTTTTCGCGTGTGCGTGAATTTTCTAAAGACTTTTTTTCTGATAATGGGAAATTAATGTGTCGTTTTCGTGATCATAGTATCAATTTTCATACAAAAAATACAACTATTGTTCATATAGGTTCTAAAACACATATTCGTAATAAAAAAAAAGAGCAACAAATAAAAAAAAAGACAACCAATAATTCAAACTCTTGTTGATGCATCCGAAACAAAAAAAAATATTATATACAATTTAGTGAATGCATTTGTAGCGGCTGATATTCCATTAGAAAAAGTGGATAAACTTCAAAATTGGTTGCATGAACATATTGAACATTGTAATGAAGGAGGGTTTATTCCAAAATCAGATACTTTGCGCCGTGAATATTTACCAAAATTATTTAAAAAAACTACAGATAGTAGAGCACAAAGTGTAACCGGCGACTACCAAATATTCCTTAATTTTAACTCTTACCATTTAAGGGATAATGATATTAATTAATTAATAAACAAAAGGTAATATAAATTGTATAATATAAACTATATTTATAAAAATTTTTTTAAATTTAATAAAAAAATAATTATTAAAATTTATGATATAAAATTAAAGAAAGGGAAATCTAGAATTTTCACAGGACAATATTGAGATATACGTTACGAAGGGTCGGTTGATCATGGCAGAAAATATATTTACTTTTTGAATTCAGATTTTTTTAAGAATAAAGATATTAAACAAACAAGTTAAACAATCTAATTATTGATTTAATAATTTTTAATTGTTTATTAAATTTTTAAAAATAAAACAAGTTAGGGATGACCCAGGCAAAAAAAAGTTGCCAATTGTTTTATTGGAAGAAATTAGCTAATATTTTTTAAATTATTCGTCGTCCAGTTTTATTGATACATTTTTGCACGATTGCTGAAGCCATAATTTTTGATCTAAAATTCCAGCTACGTCTGGTACGAAGGGAATCCAAATAATATTAATAAAGGTCAATATTGTGCATGATTCCCGATCCGTAGAGACTAGAGAACAAAAGTGATCCGCAGTATTATTATGGATCTTTGAATTTATATCCAATAAAAAATCCACGCAGAAAATAAGAAGGTCCAGGTCATTCTGTTTATGTGAGAGAAATCCTTCGGGGAAGGAAATATTATTTATTGTTCAACTAAAACTTTTGTGGATTTGGATGTATCATGAAAATCTAAGATGATTTGACGATTTGACGATTTGACCATTCAAGGCAACAGGGTTTCGAGTTTTCATTTTGCGGCAAATGTGATACAAAAAGTCGAGCTGTTTAGAAAGCTATTGTTATAAGGGGAACGTGAAATTACGAATTAGTGGGTGCACACATGATTTGCCAATTTTGATTAGAATAATACATTAACCCTTTTTTGCCTTAATATTAATTTGGTTAAAATCATGGCTGATATACATTATGTTATGGCCAAAGTCCAGATTTTGTTGATCTTTTTTCCCTAGTAAAATTCATTGATCGCCGGCAATATTTTTTTTTTTTAAAAAAACAATGGATTTATTCAATATGCCATACAGTACAGTAGTAACGTACACGTAGCATTGAATAAATTAATTAATTTATTCTAGTTTTTCCTGTACAATTTTACATATAAAAGCACATAAATTCAGATGCGTTCCGTTAAAAATCTTTGATTAATTATTACTTTCAAATCACTAAGAAAATGGATAATTCGATTTATATAAACGCAAAAAATAATCAATCGGATACAACGATAGCATCACAAAATGATACAAAGCAAAATCAATCGCAAAAAAGAAAAGATATACTAAATCTAAACAACACACAAGAAAAATCAATTCGTTCAGAAAATGATGATAAACCTTCAATTTCAATTCACATAAATACACAAGATTTTGATAAAAGATCTGCAACAACAACGATCGTTGATAATAAAAATTCAAATTATTGGTCAAAGTATCTTATTCTTACTTTAATCTCTGTCGGTTCTATGCTTATGCCTATATCATGCACGATTACTTATTCAGCGGCTGAGGAAATTCGGGCAGAATTTGATGTTAACGATATGATTAATGGATTACCATTCGCTTGCTTCCTCATTTCCTTTGGTATCTTTGTGAGTATTTTAAGGTTTCTGCTCGAAAATCTGAATTCATAAAATTAATTTCTCTTCACATGGCGACTTTAATAATATAGCCATTAATTTGGGCGTCGTACTCTGACAAGCATCAAACGAGAAAACAAGTATACGTTGCTGGCTTAGTTATACTAATAATAGCGAGTATTATATGTGCTATTTCAAAGAATATTTGGGTTTATATCGTAATGCGTGCACTTCAAGCTTGTGGTGTAGCGGTAGTGATATGTATTGGTGGTGGTATTATATGTGACATTTTCTCTGATCATGGTAATTTATAAATACTTACATTTTAACATATATTCATTCATTCACGTTTTGTTGGTTAATTCTTAATTCTTTTTTTTTTTTTTTTCTTAGAACGAGGCCAAGCGTATGGTATCTTTTCATTTGGAAGAGAAACAGGAGGACTTATTGGACCGGTTATTGGTGGTTTAATTACGAGTTCATTAGGATGGAGATTTAATTTTTGGTTTATAACAATTTTAAGTGGAATTTTTATGCTCTTAACAATCTTTTTTCTTCCTGAAACATTTCCTCAACCTCTGTCCAAATTTCTTCCAAATATTACTTTCTCTTCAACCGGTAATCGTTCTTTAACATCGATCAATTGTTCGGATTCAACCTATCGAGCAAATTCAACTCCATCAATAAGACCTGTATCCATGAAAGCAGCATCCATCGTATCTACAATTAAAACCAAACAATTTAATCCAATGGCACCTTTAACTCTTTTAATTTATCCTAACGTTGCACTATTATGTTTCAGCAAAATTATAATGACAATAACGAATTATATTCAAAATTTATTAATCGGTGATTTATTGTCAAAATCTTATGGATTAAATTCATCATCCGTCGGATTAATTTATCTAGTACCAGGTTTAGGATGTATGGTTGGTAGTGTAATAGGTGGTAAATATCAAGATTGGGTTATGGAAAGATATAAAAGAAAAAATAATATACCATCCGAATTAAATTTTCCTGAAATTAGAATTAAAAGTTGTTGGATAAGTATTATATTAGTACCAATATGTTATTTACTTAATGGTTTAACTTTAGAAAAAAATTTTGCCATTTATTGGATTTTAATTTCTTTATTCGTTGGATCTTTTGCTATTATAATGATTTTCAACTTGACATCAACTTACTTAGTCGATGCTTATCCGGAAAAGAGTGCCTCAGCTATCGCTGTATCTGATTGTTTATGTTATATTATTAGTGGTATAATAATTGTTTTCGTTTCTTCTGAAAAGGATACTCTTAATCATTTAACTTTATTTTCATCTATGGCTGGTGTAAGTGCTTTATCTGGTTTAATCTTAATTATCGTAGAAATTAAAGGGGAATCTTGGAGAAATAGATATAATTAATAGAAAGTAGAATAAAAATAAATAAAATAGAATTAATAATAATAATAATAATAAAATAATTTCCCACTCCTATTCCAAAAATAATTTGAAATTCTAGAACCTGATCATATTCCAAACTAACCGAGTTGATTAGCATATCAGCACCACTTTCATAATAAAGATCTTTGATTAATTAAGAAAACAAATGATTTTATATATTCAATGTTTATAAATTACATAATATTTATTGTTTCTTTAACATTCAAAAGATAATCAATGTGTTAATTGATAATGATCATCCAATAATAATTTACGTGAACGAACTAATTGATTATCGTGATATCTCTTGATATCTTTCAAGAATTATTTCGTTCAACTTGTTGATACGCATAATTTAAATTGAAACGTTAGACTTTTCATACACTAAAAAGGATCCGATCTCGTGAAAAAGCTTGTTTGAATCCCCTTGGAAAAGTTGATTAAACCAAATATGGATTAAATTTTTTATGATTTCCCATACCGTTCCCACCCAAAAACTCGACTGCTGCATACTTTAAATTGAAATATCGAATCTTTTTTAATCTATCTATAAACATGATAATTATTCAAAACTAGAAATTCCTTTGCCAGTTATGCACATGTTAAAATATCTGACCTGGTAAGCTGTCAACAATGTTTATTCATTAAAGATTTTAACATAAAAATTATTCACGGATTTTTATCCAAGATAATTCCTTCCCCACTTTTTTGAATTTTTATTCTTGAAACGCGAGGAACAGAACAAAACAAAACAAAGGAAAACCGCTAATAAGTAACTATATTCAAAGGTAACTATAAATTCACGCGGTAGAAAAGGAAGTTGCTTCAACATAAAAACCAATGAAAAAGAGCCATGAAATTTTTTTTAAAAAAAAAAACTGCGCCAACTTACGAATTTTTTTTTTTTAACGCGTATAATACAGATTTATAGATATGGATAGCGCGATTAACCCTATTTTTTTTATCCAACAATCCGTTCAACAAGAAGTACAAAGTACTTCAAGTAGTGATTTTCAAACACCACCTCTAACTCTCTCAAGAAGTTCTTCGCCATTTTCGTTTGATTCAACTAGAGCGAGATATAATAATGATGATTATATTCAAGTTCTTCAATTTAAAATTCAATTAGAATTTGTAAAGAAACCACCTGTTTGGCGTCGTATCCAGGTCCCGTATGAGTATACATTTTTTCAATTTCATTTAGCGATTCAATGTTGTATGGGTTGGTGTGTAAGTATAATAACTATACAGGTTAATTTTGTATATGTAATCACGTGAAAAATTAACAAGATATAATATGTCCTTAATTAATAACAATAGAATTGTCATATGCATGTATTTCGCGCCCAAGAAGGTTTTGAAATTGGCAATCCCCGTATGAACGAAGATTTTTCCGATTTGCCACAAGTACGAGTACAAGAAGAAAAGACAACTTTACTTAGAGATTATTTTCATAGTAGGGAACAGAAAATGATATATGAGTACGATTTTGGAGATTCATGGGAACATATTATTACATATGAAGGCACATTTGATCGTAAAGCAAGAACTCAATACCCAAAGTGTTTAAAAGGTAGAGGTAAGTGTCCACCTGAAGATATCGGTGGTTACGTAGGTTTTAAGAATTTTAAAGAAATTATGAGTGATAAAAATCATCCTGAACATGAACATTTTTATGATTGGTACGGTGGTAAAGATTTTAATCCTGATGAATTTGATAGAAGTTCTGCTTTCGATGGTTTAGAAAATATAAATGATTTTAGAGATGTGAGTGATTATCAATTTTAGTTTTTCGATAATTTTTCGTAATATTTTGTAATTTCTCTCTTTTTTTGTAATCCATAATGGTATTTTTTCTTTTTCTTTTTTTTTGACAATCTTAATATAAATCATAATACATAATAGTATATGTTTAATATGTCGCGATTTGAATTTTATTTATAATGATCTACATTTGAGTTATTTATGATTACAAGAACTGATATCGCTAGCATATTATTAAATAATATTATTCTAATATAATAAATAACTATTGTGATGTGAAAATATTTACATAAAATATAAGTGTAAGAATGAAAAATGTTCTATTTAAATATGTAATAAAATATACCCACATATGAAATTATTGTTTAATTTATTATTTAAAGAAATGATCCGTGTTTATTTATCTAATTTATAATCCCACTAATCCCACTTCAAAAATTTTATTATTGAAATATAATTTTAGAAAGATGATAAAATATGGTAAACATGACTAATTAAGTGTTTATTCTTTTCCCACACTCGTTCACAAGTATACTGTAACAGCTTTACTTCCAATAAATCTTGTAATGTGTTCTTGATTTTCAGTATAAATCAACATCTCACTTATTTCACATATCGTAGATTTTGTTAAAAATTCACATAATGATGACCAATTCATATAAACCAAGTAGGTAAGATAACCTAATATTAGTGAGAGCATAAGTGAGATAATTAACATAACGATTAAAACGTAAGCAACCAATTTTGGTGGTGAACAAGGTCGAAACATTGGGATAGTTTTTTAAATATAATATGAATAAATTTTTTAAGAGAGAGAGATATATATATCTATATGTGTGTGGTTTTTTTTTTGATTGTTAGCTAAGTCTTTTTTTTTATTTTGAAATTCAAAAATTTCATTCCCTTTGTATTTAAATATATTCATCGTATGTTACTCCATTTATATTAAATTATTACGAAATGAATATCTTTAAAAACAAACATTTCCATTGCAGAATTTAATTTTGATTGGTTTTCATAAGCTTCTGTGATACAACCAGTTTCCTAAAAAGTGTTTAAAGACGTAAAATGCGGTTAAAAATAAATATAAGTTTCACATTATTATTGTGTGAATCAGGTCATTTTTTAGGAAAGAATCCACTAAATTAAGGAACCATTTTAACGTCATGATTTTATACATGGAAGGAATAATGAACCAGACAATTCGGGCATTAAGGCGTCGTAATTCTGTAATATTTAATTCACCGTGTATACGTCATGATTGACATTATCAAAATTAAGATCCCGAAATCTATAACTCCGGCCGGTTACCACCACTATTTAATACAACCGTTCATCAAATACGCGGGAAATAAGTAGGATACAATAATCTATAATAGTATACCTACGCCACTGGTTTTTCCAACGACAATTCGATTCTGAATAGTCAAGGTGACATGATTACGTAGATTGTGTAACACTATTTATCGTCTTGTGAAGTGATACCGTATAGGTAGGATGAGCTGTTCTCATTATAGTATAGTTAAAGTTATTTACTAATTTAGAATTGCGTGAGTTAGATTAGATGGCGTGACCTGATCCAGTCCGCAGTAACCCGATCAACGATCTATAAATATTATCGGGATAATCGGAGGAAAAAAAAACAAATTTTCTTTTTCTTTTTTTTTTAAAAAAAAAATAATGGCGACTAAATTAGCTAAATTAACACCTTCAGAAATTAGAGGTTCTTCGAACAAGCCCTTATTAATTGCGGCAAAACCAACTATTACAGTTCGTGAAGCATTGAAAAAAATGGAAGAACATAATATTACTTCTCTACCAATTTATTCTCATGATTCCGATAGTATAGTTACTATAGTAAATTTAGTTGATGTATTAAATTACATTATTAAAGAAGCTGTCGCTGATGAAAAGTTGCCAAGCAAATTGGATAGTGAAAAAAGTCTTAGTTTAAATAATCAAATTGAAGTTGTTATGACTTTGGATGCTGATAGAGAAAGTTATAGAATGTTTAAAGCTGATGCTAACGAACCTATTATTTCGGTAAAAAATACATTTCTAAAAATCTCGAACTGTTTTTTAAAAAATATTTCTTTAGTCTTAACAAGTTTTTTTTTTATTATTATTATTTATAGGTCCTTGAAGCATTTTCTAACGGTATTCATCGATGTTTGGTTATTGACTACACTGACAAAGTTCCACCGTATGTCATAACTCAAACTGATATTATAAGATATATACAAGCCAATCCTGAATGTTTATCAGGGATTGATTTGGATCGTTCCTTAGAAGGTTTTGGTCTTTCTGGACCTCGTAATGTTGTTATTGGAAAAGATAATGAAACTGCTTTAAATGTTTATCGCAGAATGGCTGAAAAAAGTCTTACGGGAATACCAATTATACAACAGTAAGTTATATTTGTTATAAATATATTTTAAAATTGATGAATTTATTAAAGATTAATTTATTCTTCTTTCGTTATAGTGATACCGAAAAATTAATTGGTACTCTCTCTGTATCTGACTTACGTGGTCTTAATTATGAATCCATCAATAATCTCGTCTTACCAGTTCTCAAGTTCTTGGCTGTATGTACAAAAATATTTTAAAAACTATTATTTCATTTTATTTTATATTCACTAAAAATCCTTATTCCTTTATATTTATAGACCCTTCCTAAAGCGGAATCAACTTTGAATCCAATTACAGTCACAAAAGATGTTGCACTTAAAGACGCACTAAAAACAATTGTTGATAATCATATTCATCGTTTATGGGTCGTTAATGAGGACAAAAAAGTTGATAATGTTGTTTCTCTAACGGATTTGATAAAACTATTTTCACAAGCCTGAGGAGTGAGACAAAAATTATCTCTTATTTTTTTTTTTGCAATAGTCTTATTTTTTACTTAACACTAAATAGGATATAAATTAACCGATAAAATATCTATATGTATAAAATATTATGCTAATACGAATCATTTTATATATCGCATTGTCTGAACAAACTTCTAAAAATGATTAGCCCTTCTTTATTTTGTTAATAGTAAAATACTTGTTTAAATTTTATATATCTCACCATGCTAACTTATAAATAAAATCTCCGTAGAGATTGGAAATATTATTATTTTTCTTTATTTAAATATTTGAAAATATATCTATATATTCGTCATCTCTCCCATATTAATTTTATAATTTTTATTTCCCACACTTTATAATTATTACCTTTAATATTCATTATACACTGATGTTATTTATCGATACATATTACATCTGCATTTTTCACAATTTCCTCCTCATCAGTAATAGAATCTAATCCTTTTTGAAATCCTTTCAACAACATTTCTCTATCTTCCAAGCCAACGCTAACTCTAACTAAATTGGCTTCAACACCAAATTTAGAAGCCCAATCTAATTCAAAATAATGAGCTAGGATAGTATAAGGACAAGCTAAAGTAAAATTTGTACCCAATGAAGGTCCCTTTGCTATGGGTAAAGAATCAAAAAATTGTTGTGAAGCTTTTGATGAATAGAAAGTTAATGAAAATAATCCTCCGTAACCTCCGTTTATTTTCTTATATTGTGAATATATTTCTGGTGTAATATATTTTGGATAATATACTTCCTTAACTAAAAATTGTTAAAAAGCAAAAAGTTAAAATTTTGTGTATATATATATATATAAAGATACTTCACTTTTATTATATGAAAGAAATTGATTTTATGCTTACTTTTCGGGCTTTTCGAAAGAAAATCACATAATTCTTCAGTACTTTCATTGATTTTTAGAATACGATCACGAAAAGTTCTAGAATTCCTTTCTAAGAAAATAGCATCTTCACTCCAAATTAAATCTTCATAGTCCTGTTCGATTACCTGTTTCAATTTTTCATAATGTTTTTTTTGAGGATTCAACACCAACCTGTATTTTTGATATGATAAAATAAAAGTTAATCACCCATTGATTTTTGTTTCTTTAAAATTATATAAATATTTACTCACCCACCACCCATAACATTACTAGCACCACTAAAAATTTTAGTTAGACTAGAAACTAAAATATCGGCCCATTCTAATACGCTAACATTAACAAAATTACCAATAGTTTCATCAACTACAAGTAAAAAATCGTATTTATCAGCTAATGAACTTAATCTTTTTAAATCTGGTGATTTACACAATGGATTTGATGGAAATTCACAAAATAATGCTGAAATTTTTTCTCCTGATTCTAATAAATTCTCTATTTGATCAATGTCTTCCGACGTTCCATTTCCGTAAAGATGGCATCCTGGTCCAAACTTTTCCAAAATTTTCAATGTATCGACATACGGAAATCTAATAAAACCGAAGAAAAAAATAAATAAATGGGATTAAGATTTTTTTGACTAAATTTTCTCCAAATGTAATATTTACCCGAAACAGATGCTTTTGTTTGGAGGAAAAGCACTCATGATGTATCTATGAGCGTGAAAAATTGAACTCATCCCAGTAGAAAATAAAAATACGTCATCCTCGGTAACACCTTTAATACCTCTTTCAGTAACATTCGTACTCTCGATTTTTCTATTTATAACCCCATCCAAATCATCGATTTCGCTAGCATTATTTTGCTCTTCAACGCCAAGAACACCAGCAATTCTTCTTCTAAGTGCGATTTTAGCTTTATCTGCAAATGTGATAGGAAGATTACGACCATATCTTTCTTCTACATAAAAATTTTCTTCTACGGTAGCTGATTTTTCAGCAAAAGTTGAATCAGTTGGTGACGTTGGCGATTTAGGTTCAGTTATATTACTAAAAGTAGAATCATTATTTGTAATATTTGATGTTCGAATATTTGAAGAATAACGTTTGTGAAAGATTGGCCTTCTTAAAGAAATTGATGATTTTTCGTTACAATTCTCGGTAATAGAACTTTTTTCATCATGTTTAGCTTGCATAATATTTAAGGAATATTCGGCACATCTTGAACTTATTCCTTCTCCTGCATGTTGCCAATACGATTTCGCTATAGGAAATGCATCTTTAGGAAATAAAACTACATGAAGAGTTACACTCCCTTGAAATGATGATTTCGCTTGGTCAGGAGGAATAACTGTAATTTCAGCTAATCGAACACATGGTGTTGGAGAAGTTGACGGGGATGTTGGTGACGTTTGTTTATAATATTGAAGAATAAAATCTCGACATCTTCGCGCTGATTTACGACTTGGAAATAATAAACATGTTTCTGTTGGTTTTGCAAATTTTTGATCACACGTTGTAATCAACTTTGGTAATTGTGAAAAATAAATAAAGCAAGTTCTTATTCGTTAAAGGTAAAAAAAAAAATTATTATTTCTTAAAATAAATATAGTTCACCTGTTTTATTTGAGGATGAATGAAAAATCTTGGATAGCCACATGTCATACGACTAACTACCCTCTCCGCTGCTTCTTCATAATCAACATTATCTTGCCATGTTGGTAATGTAACTGATATTGCATGTGATGTATTCGCTGGTATTGGACTTCCGAGTTCTGTTGGTATTGAATAAGATGTTGAAGTCATGCTATTTATATATTTATATATTACAATTTCCAAGATTAAATAAGAAAATGCGAAGCTAACAGATAGTTAATAAAATAAATATAAATATAACTTGCATAAAAATTTATTTTAACTAAGGACATGAAATTCAAGTTAGATTAACGATAATCTTTTCTATGCAACTTTTATTTACACTAGCCTATAACAGGAATTTGATAAATGGATAATCGAGGAATTCTGAAGTCTTGGTTGAGTTGATCCAAGAGTTCCTTTCCTTCTACACGCAAACTTATTAATAGTTCAAGAAAAAGGTGATGCTTCAGACTATCAGAGACAGGATATAAAAGAATTGTTGAAATTAAATAATAGACATTACGTAGCTTTTGTCGATTAAACTATCAAGTTAGATTATGTTAATAATATAAAACTCTATGTTTCTAATCACAATATTATGTTATCATGTCTTAGAAGCTTTTCAACTAGAATTTCCACTTCTTTCTCACCTATTTACTTATTTCACTATTAAACCATTCAAAAATTTTTATTTATAAATAAAAGTAAAAATGTAGCCAACAATCTCTACGACACCAGCAATTTTAACGGAATTTGATCGTAAGAACGTTTTACATTATTAATTCCTTTCTCGAGTAAGCTATTTTATAACTCCTTTCACTTTTTTTAGCAATCCTCGGAATTCCATAATTTTATCGTATCACGGCCGAAACTTGACTTTTATTCTATAATTGACACTCAGACCTGATTAATTCTTATGGCTGGACAAATTCAAAGCAAAAACTTCGAGAAATTAACGCGACGTGCTGAAGAATGCAAGTATTAGGTTTGAGTAGTTCAATGGTTTGATATATTTGGAACCATTGTGAATAAAAGTTGACGAAGATATTGTAAAATGGTGATCAAGAGCGGTTTATAGATGAGAAGATAGACTAGTACTAGTATTTCACGATAAAAATTATGAAAATATAATTTGATAGATGATCATGAACTAGCCTAGCGTTAAGATTCCTGATAACTATTGGATAATTTTTATTATTTATGAAATAATGTATATGATGAAAAAAGCACAATATAACATAATTAAATCTTAGACAATTTAAAGTGATCATAATTTACAAAATGAGAGTTTAATTAAACGTACTAATTAATAAAATATTAACTCATACACTAGTCTTGGCATAATCTTAAATTGGTTTCAATTTAAATAATTTAAATAATTTGAACTCTATTATTGGTAATTGTAACAATCTCCGTGTTTCAGTCAGTAATCCGGGGGATTTGAAACTTCTAATGCTAGGCGAAATTCCTCCCAGAAATATTTTTTATTAAAATACATTAAATATATTACTAAAAATACACAATATACACGATTTAAAATAAAATAAATATTATATTACATTTCTTCTTCTAGAAGATAATTCTTGTTCACTAGGAATTCCAGCATTACTAGGAATTCCATCAGTACCACCAGGAGTCGGAATAGCTTTATTTGTATTTTTACGCCTTTTTATAAATAAGAAAGCGACTATCGATATAATACCAATCAACAATATTACACCAACTACACAACCAACTATAACACTTATATTTGTTTTTGGATTTGATGATAATTGCTCTGGTGATGCGGACTTAGTTGCTGGTAAAGTAGGGTCAAAAGAATTTGTCCAAACATATTCTGAATCATTGCTAATATCAAGCAAAAGTACATCACTTTCACCGCTATCCTTATATTTAGAACTAACAACACCATTGGAACCTAAAAATAATTACTATAAGTAAATAAACAAGAAAATAATAGTCACGAATTTTATTAATAAAAGTACGCTTACCAAATGTTACAACCATATATTTTCCAATTACATTAGCACAATGTTCACCACGTTTAAATACAGGACCTTTTCCTCTAACTTTTGGTACATACCATTCAAAACTTGTTGTATCCAATACATATAAATCATTATTATCACCATTAAAACCTCCAAAAAGAATTATTTTATCCCCATTTAAACCAAGTACTGTTGTTATACCAACATCTTTAGGTGGAATGTTTCCAGTAGTAATTTTTGAATCCCATCTATCCTTAATTGGATCATACAGAAATATCAAATCAAAACCATTTGAAACGGGGATATAAGTTCTATCACCTCCGCCCATGTAAACTAAATTTCCATTTGGTAATAAAGTAACACCATAACCAAGTCTAGAAAAAACAGAAGCATCTTTGATTGCACAATTTAAATTTATTGTATCGCAAACAAATAATCCATCAGAACGTTTTACTCCTTGAACGGTAAAATCAAATCCAGTAAGCAAATATGTTTTTCCGCTATAATCAGTAACAACTCTCATTTGATTTCTACCTATAGGTCTAACTCCAGAAAAACTTTGTGTATTCCATACATTATTTGGTGAATTGTAAGAGTGAACTGGAGGGTCTGATTTTATTGCATTATCTCTTTCATTATTAAAAAAGAATATCGTTTCATTTTTTACACCTCCAATACTTGCTGCCACACCTCCAGTAACTATTGATGCCAATGATCCTAAAGGAAGATTGTTTACATTATCCGGTATTGGTCTCCATGGTAAGTTTGAAGTATCGAATGAAGTTGATACATCAAGATAAAAAAATCTGTCATCAGGATTTTTATTATAATTAGTCTCATTTTCGGGGGATAAATTAAGTTCACCAAATCCACCAAAAATATAGAGCTTTTTTTCAACAAGAACCGCGCTATGTAATTTACGGTAAGAGGGGCTTAACTGAGCGTTCACTTTTATTATAACCTGAAGTAAACATAATGATATAGAGAATAGAATAAAATTTTTCATTTTTAAGAATTTTTAGAAAGAAAGTTTTGTATTGTTTAGAAAAGATTAAATAAATAATAAAAGACGTTTCAGGAATAGGGTTCACTAAAATTAGTTGGTCAAATATAGAAATGACCAATATCAGATATCTGAAATACAATGTTAAACTTAATAAGTATTAAATTGACGGAAATCAAAAATCCCAATATCCATACATGGAATTGAATCGATTTTTTACATTAAAATTAAGAATGTTCTAGCCCAGTAATTACACTTTTAGTTGTTTTATGCCGATCTTAAAGTATAAATAGTATAATAACGTGGCAATGTCCCAAGTCCCAACCAATCATGAGCAAATTTCTGAAAGATGGTTTTTCTGCGGCGACCTGTAATAATTCTTATCAGTTATCATATATACATTAAACTAGTACAAATTAATAAATTAATAATAAAATTTTAGAGACCATTATTTGTGTTTTTTTTTATAAAATAGATTACCGAATTAGATACATAATCCAAAAAACAAATTTTGTAATTGGATGCGAATACAGAAAAACATCGTCCTTGGAAATAGGATGCGTGTAACATCTCATATCGTATTAAGATCGTCAGTGCGATGATCTATTCTGTTTTGTAAATTTCATTTTATGAATCAGATCATGATCTGTGTGAAATTACACAAATTAATTTACATCCGACTATCGGAGTTATTAAATATAATAAATATTAAATCTTCATTTTTAACGTTACTAAAAAATTATATTTATGATTTTTACGTCTTCTCATAAAAAAAAAGCACTCAGTGATAAAATACTAGTAACTATTATTGAAGCTATAATAATTTTATTCATAATTTTTAATATTTTTTTTTATGTTGATGGTAAATTTGGTGATTGGGAATCAGTTGTTAATGGAATAGGATTAAATGAAATCGTCCAAACATATTCAAGCAAAAGTACGTCGTCACTCTCACACTTGATCTTTTGTATATTTAGCTTGTAGATCACCATGAAAAATACATAAAGAATAATAAACAATTTAACTAGTACAAGGTGTTTTAAGTGTAATATACCTTACTGGTATGATACCATTAAAGCAGCTTCAAAAAATCGCATGATTGTTTGAATCTTTATATCTTGCTTTTGGGCCATTTAAAGGAGTTTTATAAAATCTATGCCCATACGATCCTGATAAACAACGATTTTACCCTTCCCTGATCAATAAACTAAGGATAATAACGTAATATCATTTGTCTACATTAATTTGGAAAGTCATAACAAAACGATAAACAGCAGATTGTCACGAAATTTATCCATCATTATAATGTAAAATACATGAGTTGTTCATTTCTAAAGGGCTTGTGCCAAAGCTTCTCTGCGCAATCGATGAAGTGATTTATAACATGGAAATAATTGTAATGAAAATATAATGAAGGGGACACTTTACAACATCTGATCATTCTGATGAGTGAGTATTCAAATGTCTTACATGATGTTAAGACGGTAATTAAGTCGCTTCATGAAAGTAAATTATTTTTTGGCTATTTTTGAGCACAAACATCGTAGTACATAAAAACATTGAGAACATTTGGGCAATGTTAATTGATTTTGACTGGTACAATAATGGCTATTATCCATTCTCAAAGAACCCAAATATTAGATGACCAGAAGAGGTAAAGATTGTGTATCTTTGGATTAAAAGTCATGATATTTACTAATTGAATATACTTGAGGAAAAGAATTACATTAAATTTTTTTTATTTAAATATATTTTGTATAAGTGCATAAACTTATACTTTTAAAAAGTTTCAATTTTGTTATTAAAATCTAATTAATTAATTGCTATAAAAACATTGAAATATAAATAGATCTTTAGATATAAAAATAAAGTTTTTTACCTTGTATTTTTGTTGGTGTATTGTGTATCCGTGTGTATTAAGAAATAGAAATCACACATACTGTACTTAAATTTCGCAGACTAATTCTCATAGTATCCGTGTTCAGAATTTAGTAATGAGATTTTTTTCATTCTCTCTCAAGTCATTCACGATGTTATTTTGTAAACATGCTGTATCTTTATCGGCGGGAAAATTTTATTGCCTATATGTGTCCCTTTTCCAAATGTGAAAAAAAATTTTGAATGAAAGGAAATTACTAATCAAACACTCTCATTAAAGTATGGATTGGAATTATAAGAAATTAAAAAATCAATATCAATAGTAAAAAGTCTATTTTTATGGATAAATAGGGCCCCTGAATATGAAATTTTTTATATAGTGAACCCTGTTTGAGAAATTGCCAAAGTATACAGCAAAATTTTGCTCAAATGTAAGGCATCGACAAAAATTTTCTTGTATTGTGCGTAAAGTTGCTGGAGAAACTAGAGGGTTTTGGCAAGTTGGCGAAATGCCGAAATGGTGAAACTTTGCCGAAACTATATGAAAGTCTTATTAAAAAGTTGGCGAAACTCTGGATAAAAGCGAAACTTGACGAAGCCTATTATAAATGCCGAAACTGCCAAAACCTTGCCGAAACTATAATAAAACTATAGTAAAATTTTAGAGAAACTAATCGTAGAATTTTGGAGAGGTTTAGGCAGGCAACCTTAATTATTTGTGCGACATATGTTTAATATTTACTTCAAATTTAATCAAAATGTGTATTAAAAAATTATTGTACAAAATTACGACTATTCTTTAATAATAATAATTATTTGTATTAGCATTTATATCAATTAAATTGTATATCTATTGCAAAAATCTAGAAAGATACAGTAGGTCTGCAAGAAAAGTCATGAAATTGTGATATGTAGATATTTAAAAATTTCCTCATACAAGACGACGAAAAATTAATAATTATGACTTTCGCAAAAATGATAAAAAAGAAATTTTATACCAAACTCTCTTGTAAATATATATAATAGGCCAATTGGTTTTAAAGAAAAGAGAGTATTGCAAAAACGGAATGGAACAATTCCTTCAATGCCATGCAAAAAATGCGGAAATGGACTAACTCATAATAAAAATATGCATCCCCGACTAGATTCAAAGTTAAGCAATTAATACAATTAAAAAATTAAATAGTACAGCAAAAAATGCATTACATAAATTGTAAATTATCAAATATATTGTCGAACTAAAGAAAAGGAATCATCGTGTGATTTATCGTTGGCTTAAATTGTCAAAGAATAATACTTCTGGAGGTAAATCTAGATTAACAACTTTTATGAGTTCTAACTAGCATAACGCAGGTTGATTTTTTTGTATTTGGCTTCTTCAATGTATATCTGTACTTCGTCTTCTAAATCCGCCTTCAAATTTCACATGGTTTTACTAGTAAACAACGTAATGTCTATATTATGTTAATAGAGGTTGTCTCTTTACTAATAAATGACACGGAGTACTATTTGTCATATTTACTTTAAATTTTCGTATACGCTTTCATTAATATCCAGATGTGTGCATAGAATCCCTTCCAAGGTCTGATCACTTATTCGTTTCTCGTATTATGATTATATATACAGTACATAGTTTTACTTATTATCGTTTTGTGATAATAATGCATGAAGGAGAAAGGCCTTGTGAATTTTTTTTTTGTGCCCGTTATTAGTCATGTATGGTCATGAACGCGATCACGTATCTCCGCTATCTCTCTCATCATTGTCACACTTATTTTGCAATAACGTGATAAAACATGCGCATTGTTTTGCATGGAGTGTTTATGTGCTATAAAGGATGTATTACATTGAGCTGTTAGCAAGAAGAAAAAAAACATTGATATGTGATAAATTGAAGAATAAAACATTATTTGGCTCAAAGTTTAAATCGTCACTATGTTAAATTAGAAAAACTAATATTCAAGGACAAAACTTTACTATCTCTCTGTTCTGCTCTGAAAAAATAAATTCATTCACGAAGTTGAATCTATAATCACAATAATTGCCGTATATCAGAAACAACTAATTTACACAGTATATACATAAACAAGAAAATTAAGAAATTTGTTAAAAATAAAAACTCTCATTTATATTCCTGTATTCCTGATTTGGGCAATTATCCGGAATCGCTAAGCTTAGGCGGCTATTTTTGCGACGAACTATATCACAATATACAGTATTGTCTTGGACTTAGTTTTTATGAAACTAGCTATAATCGGAAACTCAAAGACAAACCAACATTTCTGATTCTTTATATAATGAGACAACTTAATTTCAAATTGAAACGATTATAATGCATTTATTTGCTCCACAAATAATATTTTTCTATTTTTTGCAAATAAATTAAGACACAATTTTTTATTGTTATACAATAAAAGTTAATGAAATGTCTTTATCAAAAAAAAAAACTCTAATTTTAGAAAACTTTCCATGAAACATTTGGGATTTCCGCATACTATCTTGCAGATCGGCATTTCATTTATATATGTACACAAACTTTTATCATTGTCGACCTATCTTTTTCTTAAAAAAAAAAAAAAGAAAGAAAAGAAAAAGAGAAAATGAATAAGTTCACATTATTTTTGATAACATTGTCATGTTTACTTCAAATTGTAAACTCTCAGCTAAGCCCTAATTTACGTAAATTATTTAGTGCAGTTTTCATCGAAAAAAAACTTTACATTTATGGTGGGTTTATGGATAAAGAAGATGCAAATGCTCAAAAAACTCCAGATGATAGATTTTTTTATCTTGATGTATCAATTCCTTTTGATACTTCAAACTTGCCATGGAGAGCGATACCAGATAATGCAAAAAATTTACCTCTAGAATCTTTGTCATCAATATTTACCGGAGGTTTGGCAGCAAGTGTTGGAGGTGTAAAAAATGAAACGATATTCTTTTTAAATAATGAAAAGGATAATACAACATCACCAGTTCACTCTTACAATTCATTAAATAATGTATGGAATACACAAAATTTATCTGGAGTTAGACCTATTGGTAGAAACCAAATGAGAGCTATTACTGATAATAACGGGAAAATATATTTACTTACTGGGTTTGATTTCACTGCTCAAGAGGTAAATCGTGCCAATGGATTATTTATTTGTGATACAATAAATTTAAACTGTGTAATAAAAGATGCTCCTTTGTCTAGACTTGGTTATGGTGTTACTTTATTACCAAATGGAAATTTAGTTTACATGGGCGGAGGGGATAGAAATTATGTTCCTATTTCAGATGGTTTTAAAGTGATATATTTATACGATCCAATTAATGATAAATGGGATTCAAAAGTTACTACTGGAAACATCCCACCTGCAGATGTTGGTATAACAACAGTACTTGGATTAAGTGGGGATAAAATAATTCTTTTTGGAGGTAATAATGGTGATAATAATAATTTATATGTATTGGATACTACAAACTATGAATGGTATGTACCAGAAGTTAGAGGAAAAAGTCCTGTATTTAAACGCGGTGAACATTGTGCTAATGTAATTGGAAAATATATGGTTGTAACATTTGGTAAGCGTACTTTTATTAGTAAAATTATTTATTGTTATTCTTCTTATTTATATTTATAACAATTATTTTAGGTTCCAATGGTGTCCTTCAAGCTAAATATAGAACGGTTGGTGAAAGTGATGTACTTTTGCTTGACATTAGTAGTGAATCAGAATATATTTGGACGACTTCTTTTGACCCTTCTTCGTTAACAAATAACTCCACGTCATCAGTTTCCTTACCATCCTTACCGTCAAAATCGAAAAAATATTTTATTATTAAAATTAGTTTTATTGTTGGTTTATTAGTACTAATTATTATATCAATAGGAGTTTTCATGTTTGTAAGAAGACGTAAAAGAAATGCAAATGTCATTCCGACTCCTGGCGATGATTATGCGTTGCATCATGACAAATCTAAACTTTAGAATATTTAAAAACAACATCATCGTATTTAGAATTTATTATATATAATCTAGTGAGTAAAATCTGTTATTAATTTGCATTGTAATAATATACAGCTATTATATATTTTTTGTAAGGTGTAGTAGATCTTTAAACATAAGATTTGGCGAATTTTATTGAATACATTGTTATGTAACGTTTATCTTCGTATGCAAAAATTCTTTTTTTTTATTATAAATTACGTCTTATTAGAAACTTTAAAAATATTTAAGTGCAATAATTTAAATTTTATAATAAAATATTACTCTAAATTGTAATATTAATAATTAAATTGATTTTTTAAATTTTATTATTAACGAATTTTCTTCATTAAATGTTGTTCTTATAATATTTGTAAATAAACTTTCCTAACTTTCCTATAAAATTCTACTTCTCGTTTAAGTAGTATCTAAAAATTTATACCACGTGACCATTGCGTCACCCGTGCGTCATTCGCGTCATAAACTGATTTTGTGTGTTACTGTATTTGACAATTATTAATTTATACAATTCATTCAATTCATTAAATTTACTGTAAAGAATTGAACTTTGACTTTTATTAATTAAATTTGTGTCACTTCTTCCGGGCCAAATTTCTTCCCATTTATTTAATTTATTAAAGACTTTTTATTAATATCTTCTGCATAAAAGTTGTATATGATTGATTTGATGCCGCTTAAACTAATATATGTCGTTTCAATGTTTGTGCATGCACAATTTTTAACATAGAATGTGTTTGTACACTGTAAAGAATATATTACATTCGATTATGTTTAAATGGATAGGAAAAACAATCGTCACTTGTTGAATTAGAGGAAACAAATATTTGTGGTTGGAATCCCGACATCCATAATCTCATAATCAAATTATAAAGAAAAGGTTGTAGGCTATCCCGATTATCAATAATCTTCTTTATCAATTAAGGTCTTTTTTCGCTTTGAACGTTGCTCATCACGAAGAATACATCAGCTTAAACATCTACTTGTTTTTATCTTTTTTGCGATATCACAAGCTCACAAATTTCACGTTATTTTAAAAAATTCGATTTTCTGACTAAAAAAAAAAAATCCACAAATTGGAATTTTGATCAGGATTTTAGTGTCGAGTTTATTGACTGTCAAGTGGTAAGCCCCACTCATTATATGAATAAAAAAAGAATTACTATATATAGAAATTATCGGTAATATTAAGTTCATTAAAAATTTTTTTTTTTTTTCATCTTAAACTCACGCAGCCGCATTTTTTAATTGTCAGCCAACCGGAATCACTAAACCGGTTGACAAACAGGTTGTCTTTATGAGGGTTCAGAAATTGGAAACAAACATTTCTGAATCTGAAACAGTTTAATTTCAAGTGCATTTATTTGTTTCACAAACAGTGGTTTTCAATGATTCATTGAAATACAATAAAGTTAATTTAACTCTAAATTTAGTAAACTCTTTATGAAACATTTGGAGTTTAAACTAATCATTTCATTTATATACGTTTAAAATTTTTGTCATCAACGTCTTACCCTTTTTTTTGAGAAAAAAGAAAAAAAAAATGAAAAATTTCACGTTATTCTTAATAACGTTACTATGTTTATCTCAAATTATAAACGCTCAATTAAGTCCTAATGTACGTAAATTATTTAGTACAGTTCACATCGAAAAAAAACTTTACGTTTATGGTGGTTTTATGGATAACGAAAATGCAAATGCTCAAAAAACTCCAGATGATAGATTTTTTTATCTTGATGTATCAATTCCTTTTGATACTTCAAACTTGCCATGGAGAACGATACCGGATAATGCAAAAAATTTACCTCTAGAATCTTTATCATCAATATTTACCGGAGGTTCGGCAGCAAGTATTGGAGGTGTAAATAATGAAACAATATACCTTTTTAATAATGAGAATGATAATAAAACATCAATTCTCTCTTATAATTCACAAAGTAATATATGGAATACACAAAATTTTTCAGGAGTTAAACCTATCGGTAGGAATCAAATAACAGCTGTTACTGATTATACCGGAAAAATATATTTGCTTACTGGGTTTGATATTATCGCCCAAGGAGTAAAACGTACTAATGGATTATTTATTTGTGATACGATAAATTCAAATTGTGTAATAAAAGATGCTCCTTTATCAAGACTTGGTTATGGTGTTACTTTATTACCAAATGGAAATTTAGTTTACATGGGCGGAAGTGATAAAACTTTTGCGCCTATTTCAGATAATTTTAAATTGATATATATATATGATACAATTAATGATAGATGGGATTCAAAAATTACTATTGGAAACTTTCCACCTAGTGATGCTGGCGTAACAACAGTACTTGGGTTAAATGGGGATAAAATAATCCTCTTTGGAGGCGTTAATGGTGATGATAATAATCTATATGTCTTAAATCTTGCAAATTTTGAATGGTATGTACCAAAAACTAGAGGAAAAGGTCCCGTATTTAAACGTGGTCAACATTGTGCCAATGTAATTGGAAAATATATGGTTTTAACATTTGGTAAGAATTTCTTTATTTCTTTATTAGTAAAATTGTGCTATTATTATTTTTTTTTTTTCATTTATTTATAATGAATATTTTAGGTTCCAATGGCGTTACTGAAGTTAAATATAGATCAAGTGGCGAAAGTGATGTACTTTTGCTTGATATTAGCAATGATTCAGAATATGTTTGGACGACTTCTTTTGATCCTACTTCATTAGTAACAACTAATTCAACGTCATCAGTTCCCTTACCATCAAATTCATCAGGATCAAAAAATGATTTAGTTGTTAAAATTGGTATTTCGGTTGGTTTAATAGTACTTATTATTATTATATTAATAGTAATTTTCTTGTTTATAAGAAGACGTAAAAATGAACAATCAGCCATTCCAACTCCTGGCAATGCGTATTATGATAAACGTAAAAATGCAAAAATGGTCATTCCAACTCCTGGCAGTATACATTATGATAAAACTAATATTTAAAAATAATATTTATTTAGAATATATTGTATATGTAAATAAATAATCTATTAAGTAAAATCTGTTATTAATTTGCATTGTAATAATATTAATATTAATAATATTAGACGTTTGATTCGTGTAACATTTATTTATAATTCGTGTTTTATTAGAAACAAAAAATTTTTATGTACTATATTAAATAAAGTTACTTTAAATTGTAATATTAAAGAAAAATTCACTAACGAGAGAAACCCTAATAGTTCTGGATTTAATAATTAAAATAATTTTTTTATTATTAACTAATTTTCTTCATTAAATACTTAAAATTTGTGGAAGAAACTCTTTTCCATGACATTCTTTTTTTAATTCCAATAGTTAAAGTATTTCACGGCGCGTAGTCATGTGATTTTATTAGTTGTCGACCAAGACATTTTAAGTAATTACTATTAAACTTTAAACATAAAATTATGAAGAATAAATTATCGACAAATCTTTATTTCTTTTTAATTATTTATTTCAGTTTGATTCGATATATTAATGAAATAGTGAAAACTGAAAACTGATCAGTTAATTAAAAAAGTGAATAATTCGATAAGTTTACTGATTTTATAAATTGATTATTCAACCGCCATATTATCATCTCCAGGATCACTTCCTCCAGCCCAAATAAGTTTTCCACTTCTCTTATCCATTCTTTTTTCAATAATTTTGACTTCTACTATCCTTTAATTACTTTAATTCTTTACTAATACCTTCTTTTGCAAATGCTATAAGTGGTATGTGATGGATTTGATGGATTATCTCCTGGAATCCTGGATCAATGCACTATAAACATTGTACATATTACATTCAGTTGTAGACAAAAAATAAAATAAAATAAAAAAGTATTGATACATGGCAAATTGAGAAAAACATTCCTTAAACCCAAAGTTTAAAACAATTGTTGCTTGTTAAAGTGAGAAAACAAATTTCAAAGATTGAAGAGGACAAAAATTTTGATATAAACTGAAAATTTATTCATGAATTTGAACCTACAACCATAATAATTGTCAATCTTATATCTGAAACCATAATTGCATCCATTATACTGATAAAAAAAAAATTTTTTGCCAAAAATAAAAATTATTAAAAGTATTAATAAACATTCAAAACTATTATTAATTGTAATTCAAATAAAAAGGATAGGGCTTTTCTAATTTTTAATCAAATGGTTTGATATTTTGATAAAAAAAATATTTAATATGAAGCTTAAAATTATAAAATTAATTTTTAAATATTGTTAATTAAAACATATGTACAATTTTGTCTATTAAGTAATAACTAGAAACAAACCCTAAATAAATTTCAAAATCTTACTTTAAATATATAAATTTGAGTATTATACTTATTAATTCTAGAAAATATATTATTACAATATATTACATTTCAATAAAATCAATTTAATAAATTATATTTTATCTTTTTATTCTATAATTACTAGTTAATGAATTAATATTATAAAAATCATTAAAATTTTCTTTTTAAATTAAATAATTTTATAAATACAAATTTTGAAAATTTTGAAATATATGTTTTAAATATATTAAGAGCCGATCCGCCTATGAACGACAGAAAATTACTATATAAATTCAGGGTAAGGTTATTATAAAAATGCCAAAATTGGCTAAATTTTATGGGCTATAAAAACTGCAGATCATCATGCTGTGGCACCAAAATTCATATGATGATTCCTTAAATGTCAAAGATGAAAAAAATAAAAAAAAATTGAGAAATTTATTTATTTGTTCAAAACTTTACTTTGAGGCAGCGTCAGATTTGACAGGTATGTATATATATATATGCGAGAATTTCAAGTCGTATATTACGTTATTTTAACATATATGAACACTTAAAATTATGTTCTCATGTATTTTATATGTTTGAAACTACTTGTTTTATATAATTCTAATATTTTCTCTTGCTTTTAGTTTACATGTTACTATGATCTCTTTCTATTTTCATGAGGAGTAACCCGTAAATTAATTTCAAATGGTGGAAGTTTTGATATATGTATTCTTATCTAGTTTTTCAATTTGAGTGCATCACACAAACTCTTAGCGTTAGTTTGCAAAATATTATTAGCTTTTTGAAAGTGTTGTAACAATAATATAAAAAAAATAACATACAATTACCAGAACAATAGGTAATAATGGCTTTTAGAAGGATTTATATAGCAGATAGGTTATTTTAGGTTGAATTTTTCATTTTTAGATCTTTTCTATTTGTATGTTAGTTACGCTTGTTTTTAGCCAAAAAACCATCCCTTTGACAATAATATTTGAGTAATTTTCATGCGTGAAGCAATTTTTACTGAATAAATGAATATTTAAGACACGGTAGGTGTCAGATTTTAGCGTTTATTGTGAGTTTCTATGTGAAAATATTTTTCTCGATATTTTTCTTGACATTTTTAAGTTTCATCACATGACTTGGTATCACAACATGATTTGTGATGATTTTGATTGGCAAAATTTTGCCTATTTAGTTTATTTTTTGCAATAAAATTTCCCCTGAATTTATATAGTAATTTTCTGTCGATCATAGGCGGATCGAATCTTAAGTTTTTTTTTAATTATTATAAATATTATTTTAAAGTTTTTTTATTTAATAAAAATTTCAAATCATTTTTATTTTTTATTTAAATATAACCTTATTTCAGATTTAATTAAAAGTATATCTAAATCTTATAATTAATTAATTTACTATTTTTTTACTTAACAACTAGTGGAAATTTCATTTCTTTCGTAATTATTAATAAATAATGATTTTTTATAATTTATATAACATAATTTTTTTTAAGTTATATATTATAAAACTTTATATATTTTTGTTCTTTGGGTCTATTTTACTTATTTAAATACCTTTTTTATTTTAAAATACAATATTTATATAAAAAATTTATATTAAGCTAACTTTTATAATTTTAACCTCCAAATGCAACTTATTAGTAAAAGATAAGTATTATTTTTAAATATATAAATATATGTAAGTTTTTATAAGGAATCAGGTTACTTAAGAAATAAAAAGCAGGTTTCTTAATAAATATTATGGTAAATTAAAAATTTATGATTTTTGCAAAAATTAACCAATATTAAACTTAAAATGTTTACATGAATAATTACCAATTTTTTTGTGTAAATACAATTTTAATTGCAAATTACATATTATGGTAAAATAATATTTTATATATTTACAATATTTATTAAATTTTATAATTCGACTAATTTTAAAAAGTCATTAATAGTAAAAGTATTTCAATAATCATTCAATTTTAATAAAATTTAATATATGATCACTTTTAAAGGTTATAAAACAGTATGCAAAATTTTAGTAGATATTATATATAAAATATTTCAAAATATCAATCAGTATTTTACATATTAACTAAATGATCTGCATTTTTGTGTAATAGTAAATTTATTCAACAATTCTATAAATAATATATCCTCAAATTTTACATACTATTTTATAACCTTTTGAAATGATTGTCATTAAATTTTATTAAAATTGGATGATTATTGAAATACTTTTACTATTAACAACTTTTTAAAATTAGTCAAATTATAAAATTTGATATATATTGTAAATACAGTCGACCCCCTTTATAGGCACCTCCTATATAAGAACTCCCCTTCTTAAGGCACACATTTTTTAGTCCGAATTTATATATATATAAAATACCCCTTTTATAATCACTTTATTAGTTATAAGTACAATCACACCTAAGGTTGCTTGTCTAAACCTCTTCAAAATCCTACGATTAGTTTCATCAAAATTTTACTATAGATTTATTATAGTTTCAGCAGAGTTTCAGCAGTTTCGGCATTTATAATAAGTTTCAGCAGTTTCGCCTTTCTCCAAAGTTTCGCCAGTTTTTTAATATAACTTTAATATAGTTTCGGCAGAATTTCGCTTTTCGGCGAAATGCCATCTTGCCTAAACCCCTAGGTTTCGGCAAGCAACCTTAATCACACCAAACGTTGGACTCATATTATAGTAAATATATGTAAAATCCCCCCTGCATAAGCACACAAATCACGTGATTTATAAAATAACTGATAAGGTACACGTTATGCAGTTTGCGCGTTTTATTCAATAAATTCTGTTATTTTTGTTATTTTATCATACCACTAAGGTTGCTTGCCGAAACCTAGGGGTTTAGGCAAGATGGCGTTTCGCCGAAAAGTGAAATTCTGCCGAAACTATATTAAAGTTATATTAAAAAACTGGCAAAACTTTGGAGAAAGGCGAAACTGCTGAAACTTATTATAAATGCCGAAACTGCTGAAACTCTGCCGAAACTATAATAAATCTATAGTAAAATTTTGACGAAACTAATCGTAGGATTTTGAAGAGGTTTAGACAAGCAACCTTACATACCACCTATTCGTTCACAAAAAACAAATCTAACACAACAAACTCGTACTGCAATTAGTATTAATATAAAAAAAGAGATTTGTGAATTTATGGTAGCAAATCCTAACATAAAACAAAGTGATGTTGCTTCATTTTTTAATGAAAAATATATAGGATTAAATATTCAAAGAACAACTATTAATAAAATATGGAAAAACAAGCAAAAATGGCTTTCAGTTCTTTCTACTTCACAATTTTCACATACATTTCATCAACGTTCTGTTCAATTTCCTGAAGTTGATAAAGCTATGCAAATTTGGACATCACAAGCAATAGCTGCTGGACTTCCATTAAGTGATATGATATTACAACAAAAAGGGCTGGAATTTGCAAAGATGTTTAATATGGATGATAAATTAAAGTGTGCTAATGGTTGGGTGTATAGGTTTAAAAAACGAAATGGAATCCATAAAATTAAGTTGTCAGGAGAAGCTAACAGTGCGCCTATTGAAAGTCTTCCAGAAGAACGTGCACGTTAACGTGCACTTTTAGCTAAGTATGATAAGGAAGACATTTATAATGCAGACGAAACAAGCCTTTTTTTTAGAATAGAACCAAATCAAACATTAGGTACCAGTCCAACATCAGGTTATAAAATAGTAAGTTTATTTTAGAATTTGTTTTATTAAATAAATTAAATGATCTTAATATTTTTTTATTTTTTTTATAGGATAAAAATCGGATTTCTATTCTTTTTTGCACTAATGCTACGGGAAATCACAAATTTCGTCCTCTTGTGATTGGAAAATCATTTAATCCTCGATGTTTTAAAAATTTTAACAAATCAGCTCTTCCTGTAACATATCGAGCTAATTCCAAAGCTTGGATGCGTTCAGATATTTTTGTTGAATGGCTTAATCATCTTGATTATTATTTTCGTACATTAAATCAAAAAATATTATTGATTATTGATAATGCTGGTTCTCATTTTAATCCAAAAAGGTTTGAGAAAAATGATAATGATATTAGTAATGATGAGATGTCAAATGAAGAAAATAGTGAGCAAGGATCTAACAAAAAAAAGCAAAAAAATAAAACACAACAAAAAAAAAATATACCTAATCTTACTAATATTGAATTGGCTTATCTTCCACCAAATACAACAGCACATCTTCAACCTATGGATGCTGGAATTATTAATAGTTTTAAATCTAAATACAAACAAGAGTTTTGCAAACATTTAATTCAACAATTTGATTTTGGAATAGATTATAGGAAGTAAGTTATAAATATTGTTTAATTAATTTTAATAAATAATATTTAACTAATATTATTGTTTACATAGGAATAAGTTGAATATTAAAGAGGCAATTGATTATATTGCCGATGCTTGAAATAATGTTACCCAAACAACTATTAAAAATTGTTGGATTAAGACGGGTATTCTTCCATCTGATAATCTTAATGATATTAATGATGTAAATAACAATAATGATATCGATATAGATTTAGATTTAAACGAACTTGAAAGTCTTCTTAGTGAATTACCAGAAGATTCTGATGGTCTATTGGAATATTTTCAAATGCTTGATAAAGAGATTCCAACTGAAGAAGTTCTTACCGATGAACAAATTATTAATTTTATACAACGCGATGAAAATGAGAAAGATGATAATAATAATGATGATGATGATGATGACGATGATGATGTAATAGTACCTTTAATATCAGCAAAAAAAGCCGTTGATTTATTAGAGACGTATATCAAATATTTTGAACAACAAAATGATGATGATTTTGATTTTAATGATTTACAAATCTTTAAAAAGTATTTGCGCGTAACGAGATTTAAAGCATTTAATTCTAAAAATCAAACTATACTTGATACATTTTTAAACTAATAGTTTAATATAATAATAGATAATAATAAAGTTCAAAATTTAAATTCGTTGTGTAATTGCAATTTTAAGGGGTGCATAAGACGCGATTTTTTTTTAAGTTTTTGCGTCGCATTTGTATACGCGTTCGTGTAAAGTAAAAAACTATATAAAGAATTAAAGATCGTATGGGTGGGTGGTGGGATAAATTAAAGTTTTTTATTTTTCAAAAAATTTGTAAAAAATTAGCATAATATCTTTAATAATTAGCCGATTTTAAGTATATTTTACATATAAACTTTTTTACAAATTTTTTTTTTTGAAGATTTTTTTTTATATAATCACATTTATTTAAAAATTTATATATATGTGATTATATAATTAAACCCTCACCAATAGGCACACCTCATTATAATCACATCATTGAATGGTCCCGAGGGGTGTGATTGTAGAGGGGGCTGACTGTATACTCTTTCAGACTCACTAATTTTGTCAAAATTTTCTTCTTCTATCATGTTGACAATAAATGGTAAAAGAAAAGGGTGATAATATTATGATATTAAAGTTTACAATTCTTTTAGTCACTAAAAATAGATAAAATGAAACTGAGAGATACAACCCTTTAACAACTTCTTTTGTGAAATTTTTTTTAATAAGATTGTAAAAGCGGTCATGGAGTTTTACCTTTATTATTTAAGTTAAAGGCGTTACATTGTGTAAATATGGTGTTACATTTGACTCACATTTTTTCATTTTAACAAAATTTAGGTCAATATTACAAATTTGGCCAAAATTATGATTTATTAATTGGCGATTTTAATTGAAAAAACTAATTTTAGCCAACTTTTAACTATATATATATGCTATATATTTGAAGACAATGCCACACTAAAATTTTTAGATTGACAAACATATTAAAAAAAAATTGCCCTTAATTTTTGGGGACATTTCCAGTAACTGTTAATTATAAATTGTATAAAATAATTTTTTAAATAATATCTTTTTAATATTATTATATTATTAATTTTTGAATTTTATAATTTAACAAAAATTATATTTCATATTATAATATCTAATACTATAATTATAATATGATTTATACATTTTTTTATTTTAATAATCTGATTAAACTAATACTATTAATGTAATAATTATATTTTATATTACCGTACTTATTAATACTGTAATATATATTAATTAAAGCAATTTTTTTAATTTAAGTTATAGTTTTTGTAAAAACACATATTGTAATATTAAATACTAGAATATAGTATTTAATTTATAATTGGTTATTTAAATATATAAACATTTTTTTTTAAATAATAAAATAAAGCATTTATTTTTACAAATATTAATTTTATATATTAATACAATAAATACTAATATTTGCTTATAATGATATTTTTTTGTTTTTTTATTTTACAATTAATAAAAAATTCTGATATACTTTTAACTAATAACTTTTATGATTCTTATTATATGTTTGATAAAACTGAAATCTGCAAACCTGTTTTATAGAATTTACTAAAATTATTTTTTTAACAAATTTATAATAATAAAAAAAAAGAATTATAACAGGATTACCAGCTGAATAGTTATCTAATTTTGGCTTATATTATGCTAAATAAAATTCAGTACAAGCTTTTAAATCTATATTTAGCAAAAAATTGATCAGAAAATTTCTTAAGTTTAAATTAACTTGAATAACATTATAAAATTATATTAGTATAATTTAGAATATTATGGTGAAACTGATCAGTTAATTTATCATTTTTATTAAACTGGACAATTCAATAAATTTAAAATTATTACCATCCAGTCACCATACCATCACCTCTAAGATCACTTCCTCCGGCCCAAATAAGTTTTCCACTCCTCTTGTCTATTCTTTTTTCAATAATTTGACCTCTACCAAACATACTTCTATTCCATCCTTTAACTAATTTAACATTATGTCCCATTTTATTTAATTCATTAATTACTTCTTTATCAACACCTTCTTCTGCATATACTATAGAAGTGGTATATGATGAATTTGATGGATCATCTGGAATACCCAGACCAATACATATTCTTGGCGCATCAAGACTTGTTTGTGGATTTAGATTGTTATGAAGTAGATTTAATAAAACTTGAACATGTCCTTGCGGCTAATTGTATATGTATATTAAAAAAAAAAGGAATTAAATTTCGGCTGATTGCATGCTGATTACAATTAATAAATTTACCTGCATGAATTTTCCCATAACTGATTTTTAACAAGTAAATATATACGATATTAAATAAATTTAATGTAATAAATATGAAATTTAATGTTCAAAAGAAATATAATATTGTTATATACCTCCATAAGATAACCATAATTCATCCTCTTTAGTTACCATACATGGAATAATTGTATGATATGGTCTTTTATTAGGTCCAAGACAATTTGGATGTCCTTTCTCTAATATAAAACCTGATCCGCGACATTGTAACGTAAATCCACAACCTTTTGGTATAGATCCCTTTTTTACATTCAATTAATCGTTATTTAATAAGTTAGAAGATAATATTATTATATAGTATATATATATATATATATATATATATGAAAGTATTTAATTACCGTTCCGAACCCATCATAATTGGAAATAATAAAACTACAAGCATTTCCTTCTTGATCAGTGACAGAGAAATACACTGTATCACTTGAATTAACGGGAGATCCTTTTTTAACATCAACTGAAGCTTTGGACGTATTAATTAATTGTGCTCGTTTACTTAAATATTCCTATATTCACAAATATTTAAAATTATTACATGTATAAAAATAAGAAAAAAAAAAAAAAAATAAATGAATAAGAGTAATTCACCTTCGATAATAACTCTTTTATGGGAATATGGTGAACTTCAGGATCAGTAACGTAATATTGAGAATCAGCAAATGCTAACCTCAAACTCTCGATTAATATATGTATATATTGTGTAGAATTATGCTCAAGAGAATCTAAGCTCGGAATTTTTCCTTGATCTTGTAAAGCTTCGAGAATTCCTAATGCTATAAGTGCCGTTATACCTAATTATTTATTAAAAATGTTGATTATAAGATATAATAAAATTTAGACTAAAAAATTCAAGAATTCTAGACTATCTTTTTTCAACTATGAGACACTTCAAATACCGATTTAGATGATATAAATTATGCATACCTTGACCATTTGGAGGACATTCCCAAACCCTTACACCCTTATACTCAATACTTATTGGTTCAACACGCGTAGTTGTATGAGATGCTAAATCTTCCAAAGTCATTACACCTCCTTTTGATTGAATTAATTCCACAATGGCTTCAGCAATTCGACCTTTAAAAGATAATTATTTTATTGATTTTATTTATTTATTTAAAAATAAATTAAACAAATTTTTTTTTTTAATTTACCTTTATAAAACCCATCTTTTCCTTTTTCTGCTAATTCACGAAAAGTTCTATAATGTACAATCAGGACCATTTTTGCGGTATGTAAGTCTTGTAAAGGTAATAATTACATAATTTCAAACATAAAAAACAATTTACTTTACCTAGCTAAATTCGGCATATGCATAATTTCGCCAACATTTGGAGCACGACCATCAATTAACATATCGCTTCCGTTAGGCGATGCGGTTTGAAGAATCTTTTCATTATTTTTCCACTTTTTTATCAAAAAAAAAGGCTCTTTTAAAATTTTTATCGAAATAGCTTTGTAAATATATATATTATATTACCTCCCACACACTGATTTCGGATACAGGATATCCATTTTCTGCTAATTCAATAGCCGGTTTTAAAATTTCTCCAGGAGATAATTTACCACTACCAAACCATTCAATACAATCAATCCATCCAGCTGCTGCTCCAGGTACAGTACAAGAATTTATATTTGTATATGGAATAGAATTTTCAGTGATTCCTAATTTATCTCGAGCATATTCAAGTGTTAATTTTGATGGTGATCTTATAAACAATTTTTCGAATTATTAACGTTAGACTATTTTATTATTATTATATCCATGTCAAAGAATCAAATAATTCAAAATAATTCAAACTACCTTCCTGATCCATTCATTCCATGTATTTTCTTTGTTTTTGCTTCATAAAATAAACAAAAACAATCTCCGCCAATTCCAGTCGATGCAGGTTCTTTATAAAATCAATTTTAAATAAAATAATTTATAAATTGAACTAATAAATTAGTAAAATTGACATTACCTGTTACATTTAAGGCAGCAGCTGTGTAAAATAATAAATAAATGATCCAGCTTTAATAATATGTGTAATATGATAAATACTATGATTTTAAAATGTACCAGTTGCAACAGCAGCATCCTAAGTAAATAAACTAATTAAAAAAAAATTTTTTTTTAAAAAAAAGCACTCGAATAATAAAATAGAATTGTTTTACCGCAGCATTTCCGCCTTTTTTTAAAATTTCTAAACCCGCCTGGCATGCCAAGGGTTGACTTTTAAAAAAAACGTTATTTAATCAATATGTTTTTCCTTTCATAATGGAAGAAAACTTTGTAAATCTATTATGAAAAAATAGAGCAGCCGGCTGAAGAACAACTGGTTGAGGAGCAATTGGCTATGCAAAACATTGCAGAGCCGGCTAAAAAATTCCTCTACGAGTTCCGACTAAACACTTTTTTTCTAAAAAAGGGGGGATTATCAACTTACGTACAAGCTACCATAGCATTAGTACCAAAAACCACTGATCTACGAGAAGGAAATTTGATAAAAGGTTGGTCAATTTCGAACATTTTATGTTAAAAAAAAAAAAAGTGAATATAATGTACTCCTCATAAATTGGGATGATAATCAACAGTTTCACAAAAAATTATACGTCAGACGTGATTATATGATTTTCTATATGCAGACGTCCAAGATCATGTTCCATATAAAAAGCCGGCATAGTAAACAATAAGACAAAAATTAGATGAACATACTTTACAATGATGACGTACTATGACGTAAATAAAGAAATTTTATTTAAATAAATAAAGATTTTTTTTTTCTATAAATTCTAAAATAAATTAAATTAAAATTTTTAATACTTTTTAAATAGAATAGAAT